ATTGCTGCAAAAGGGGCCCAAACCAAGTACTGAATACATATGCATGCTTATACTTTTCAGAGGTCCGATATCGTTCTATGTACAATCCTTGTTTTATTGATTGCATGTAATACTCTAATTTTCTGAGATTGTGGATTTGGGGTTTTCATGAGCTGAAAGCCATAATCATCACAATTATGACGCATCACAGCTTGAACTATCTTGCTTTGCATGTAATGAGTCTTATCTCATATATTAGTTTCACCTTTTAAGTTGCATTACTGAAATAAATGAACTTTTGCACGATATTCTAATTTTTCGAGTTTCACCTCTGCTGTACAGTTTCACCTGTACAGCAGAGGTGTAACCACCTGAAACACCAGTTTAAAATTAATTGTTGCTGTGTTGCTGTGTGATAATAGTCATTTCCTGGATTTTTTAGGCACTTTATTAAATGGCAGTCAAGTTAGAGTAGAGATTGCAAGGGAGCAAGTACAATACAACTGTAGAATCTCCCAAATAGTACACAATAGGCTTTTAAAATTTAATTTTAGGACAAAGACAATTATTTCAGAAATGAAATACAGGTAGTCCTTGAGATACAGCGGTTCATTGAAGTCACATGATCAAATTCAGATGCTTGGCAACTGACATATTTATGACAGTACACACACCCACGCACCCACCCACCCACACCACCACCATTATATATATATATAGAAGATGGAGGCAATGTTCTCAGCATGTGTCTTTAAAAAAGAAAGCATGCCTGAAGCCTTATTGTTGCTAGTACTAATTTATTATTCAAATTACAATCCATAGGCAACCTTCCTTCCACAGTTCCCATTTATTTTAGAACACTCTGTAGATGATAATTTGGATTTTCTGTGTGGAGTGTGTCCAAAGGAGTAAAAATATGCTAAAATGGAATGTGTCATAATAGCCCAAGACTGGAGTTCATTATGTAAACACATCTTCTTGACAATACGTCTTCTCCTATGTTTGCCATTAAACTAAGCACTGTAAATAGCATTAATTCACATGATATTTATTCATGTTCGGTGTACACAGTGAAAGCAAACTGTATCAATATGCAATATTCATGAACCTTTACTCTACTCTTATTCAGCAAATGCTCACAATAAAGCAGGATAATTTCCTTTTGAAAATGCTTTGACTGATCAAACAAACTATTGTTTTTCAGTGAAGTGCGAAAAAGAAGCGATAGCAAAGATGATGATAAAACAGTCACTAAGCTGGCTGGGACATCACTAAAAAAGTCTTCACTCACCAAAAACTGCTGCAGGGTATAAGAAACAACTCCTTGGCCTCAAAGAAACAGACTTCTGTGGCAATGGAAGAGGGGAAAAAATGAAAAATATAGGTTGTTCTGATGATCAGCAGAAGGAAAGATGGAACTAAGTTTTCAGCTCTGAGGCCCATAAGAGTCTTTAAGCAAAATTGAGAAATGCTGCTTATTGACTGAACCAAGCCAAAAAGAATAAAATTCTTAGTTCATCAGTGGAATCATTCATTTGTGCATTAAGATAATTCCATCTCAAATCAGCTGTGCCTTCATAACCCAATATGTTTGGATGAAACTGGATTCCTCCCAAAATCTTAACACTGTATATAAATAAATATTAGCTTTTTTTTTTTAAAAAAAGGGAGTATCCAGTCCATTCTCTACCTTGCATCGTGAAGATATTTGTGATTCTTCATCACTAATCTTAAAAAACTTGTGCAGTGCTTGTTTTTGAAGGATTTTCCGAAGCAATCAACTGTTCCATAACGTGCAGCTTTCGAGAGCCTAGAAAAAGTAGTGATGACTTGGGAATTGAACCTGAATTGGGAGAAAAATACTAGAACTATCTAGAAAAAATGTACCCCTTACGCTGAATGTATAAAAAACAGATGGCTTCCTCATCTATCAAGTGCCGTCCTGGAATTTGGGCACTATAACTGGATGCTCTTTTGAAATATAAGAAGTTGAAGTCCCTGCAATTCTGAAGAATGCTACGCGGAGAGTGGCTGATAAAATTTAGTGGATTTAATAGATAACCTAGAGAATATTCTACTTGTAAATATTGTTGCATGACTTCAGACAACCTAGCAAAGCAGAAGGAAAGCTGAGCTACACATTTTTGCCCTGATGTTTTAATTTTATGTAGACTAAAGATGCAAATGATATTTCTTCATGGATTCTCAGAATTTGGAACCACAAGATACTTCGTAACTAAGCGTTCTAACCAGGACCTGCATACACAGTGCATAGTGGATTTATAATGATCACACTTTTCTTGTCCGCATGTTGCAATTTAATGATTGATTCTTCCTCTTCTTGGATTAAAAGGAACAGAAGGCTGCAAAGACTGCAAATTGTATTGTGATTATGCCTTGGCGATAAGCGGAAGTGAGACCTGAGATTGTAGTCATTACCTTCCCTTCTCCCCAGAATAGTAAGCTGCTCTCTGAAACTGTTTGCTACCATTTTTGTACTTTGATGTCGAGAAGAAGGACTCAAAATTTGTGAAAGTTGATCAAAAGCCTCATTCTTGCTCTGGGTCTGAATTCAACAAGAAAGCAACAAGGCCTCACTGAAGAAAATACCAGAAAGCAAGTTCTCTGTATAAATAATAATCAAAACCAGAAAGGATCCCCAAATCTCCAACCCTAGGAGAGATATTGGCCTTTGTAAAATGAATAGGCGTTTTGGCCTTCCTCCAAGGCAGAGGTGTCTAATTATGGCAATTTTAAGACTTGTGGACTTCAATTCCCAGAATTCCCCATCCAGCATGGTTAGCTGGGGAATTCTGTAAATTGAAGTCCTCAGCTTTAAAGTTTCCACAGTTGTACACCCCTGCCCGAAGGTGTTGCTTTGCAACAAAGGAGCCAATCGAAAGGCTGTCTGAACTTTTTTCGCAAGAAGTCTCCATGCTTGGAAACAGAAAAGGTTTATAAGATTAACATCTACATGGATTACATGAAATTAATAACATGCAATGTGTGCACTTTAATATTTAATGTTATTGTAATGATAAGCCTTGATGCTATACAAAATCCCAACTTTCCTGTGAATTTGATGAAGATCAGGAAATGCAAAAGTTGTCATGTTGGCTGGACTAAGAGGCGGTTTTATATGTTTTTAAAGTTTTACTAGATTCATATTTTTCTTCTTGATATATACAACTAATCTGTTTTTCTAATGTATAGGTTTTATTTTGCTTCACTGTGTTAAGCTTTCTCATTTTTAAGGAAGTTTTCATAGTTGAAATAATAGTTAGCTGATCACATTTTTCAATTTCTGTCCAAATTAGGAAATGAATTTAAATTCTACAGGTCTTGAAAATTATTATTTTCTCACAAGGCTGTGAGAAGAGAAACCTATTTCTCTCTACTCTGATCTAGTGTCAGAATTTGTTTTACAGCTGGATTCTCCATGCATTTTTTTACAACTAGTCTGGAAGCTCCAAATTGTCTTACTGACCAACCTCACCACATTTTAATAGTTTGATCCTAAGAGTACTGGATTGATTTTAGGTATAATATGTGCTAGTCTTGGACTCATGTTTACTATCCTTATTATGTATGAAACAATATTTGATCTTGAAGGACATTCAAGGCTGATTATTTTATTGTTAGAATACAAGCCAGGCTGACAAGCCATAATTTTCATCCTCTGTTTCTTTAACTAGAGTTCCATTGAGCTTGAACCCAGTGGAAGTTTGGTTATTTGAAAGCTGAAATACAAGTAGTTGAGATTGGAGCATTTTTTTCCAAACCAGATATCCCCCAGACTATCCTATAATTCCTGTTAACCCTATGTAGCTTTACTGTTCTGTAGGAACTGGGGAAGTTCTAGAACGGGAATATCTGGAAATATCTATGTTCAAATCTCTCTCATAGAATGTTAAACTGTACATGAAGATTGTGTCCCATAAAATGGTTGCTTTGTCGTCAGATACAGATCAGGGAAGCTTACAACACTACAGTTTTTTTAATAGTGAGAATGTTTTGATGTAACAGTAGAAGAAAACCTATAGAATTAAGAGGAGTTCAGAAATGAAAGTTTTTGATACTAAGCCAACCCCAAAGCACAACTGTGCAAGTAAGTCACAAATATTTTGCAGATTCTTTAGTCTTTTATATTTGTGCTTCTCTTATAATGATTGAAGCCTGTTTTATAGGTGCCAGTTTTCATTCTTCTCTTAATAATTTTGAAATTTTAAAGATTTTTTTTTCAAAGTACCTGTAGTTAAATTAAGAAATCCTTGCTTGGGATGCAAATGTCACCATAAGATTGTTTTTTTTTTGTTTTTTTTTAAAGGTTAGTTCATGTGAATGATAAACCAATTATTAAGAATATATTAATTGCCCTGCTGAATGACATGCATGTACAAACCTAGATTTTTTTTTAACACAGTAACAAGGCACTTAGCACTTGAAACAAAAGAAGTATTGTTTTATTAGTCTACCAAGACCGTATAGTTTAAATCAGCAGAGTTACACTTTCTATAACTTGAGTTTCTCTTGAAAGACAAATTCTAAATCAGCAATATTTTGCAGGCCAAGAGACATTAGAGACTTTGTCTTTTCGGGGAGAGCTCCATTCATTGCACAAGAGATTTTTCGAAACAGACTAAAATGTAACCAGGCTTCTAGAGTCACAGGAAGTAATACAATTTCTGCATTGAGAAAAATCAGTCTGAAAGTCCTGAATGAGTTGAGTTCGGCCAACTTCGGAAAAGAATTGTTGAATATTTACCTTGTACTCTTTAACTTCCAAAGTAAATCTTTATATTTATTTAGTTGTTACATTATATACATATATTTATTTATTTTCACAGGAAAATATACTTGTTACTTTGGTAAATTCTGTACATTCTTCATCATATTTTCTTAGAAATAAAATTATATAAACCACAGGAAATCTGTATTTATTGGAAATGTTTAAGCCTTTTTTAAAAAAATGGCACCTTTTAAAAAATGACATTGAGGCAACCATATAATAACTTCTGGAAGATGTACCAGGCTACAGGTAATTTCAAGAATTCAGTCTTGGGTGGGTGAGACAAACATGGATTCTGAAAAAAGGACCTTTCTTCCAATGCTGTTGTAACTTTGAATGGTCACTAAATGAATTATTCTAAGTTGAGGACTATTTGTATTGTGAAATATGTTTTCTTGGAGGGGAGGGAGGAGGTTAAGCAAGGAAAAGGTTTTGAGAAGCTCTTCTTGAAGCTGATGCCTTTGCAGGCAGGCAGTTGACTTCCCCAAAGTCTAGCAAGAACTAGTCAGGAGACTGCAAACCAGTCAGCTAGCTGATCAGGGCAGAAAAGCTCTGAAAGCAGCCTCCATTTATGCAAGGAATTGTTGGAGTGCTGAAAATGACAGCTGTTTCCAGGAAGCATGGGCAGCGGGCCTGAATGCTGCAGGGTCCCACTGGGGAGGGATGGGAGGAGGAGAGAGTTGCAACATCCCTGTAGTCGGTCAGAACAGCAAATGACTGCAAGCAAGGATGGGGTTCAGACCTGTTTGGTGAACCAGATGTTAATTTTACATCTGGTTCACCGAACCGGTAGTTGCAAGGATTGGCTGTCCCGCTCCCTTCCCAGGAGTCTCCAGGCAGCCTGTTCATCATGCCAGGTAAGTGCAGGGAGGCTCTGGGAGGGCGAAAAACAGGCCTCCCGGAAGTTCCAGAAATCTGGAAATGGGCCTGGAAAGCCTCCAGAGCCTGGGAAAGGTGAAAAATCCCCCCCACTTGCCGTAATGCAGGAGGCCGAGTAGGCCACACCCACCATGGCCACATCCACCCAGCAACCAAGCACAGAACCTGTTGCTAACATTTTTCAATCCCACCCCTGACTGCAAGGGTACTTCAGCTGCCGTAAATTTGAAACACTCATATAGCTTTTTTTGGGGGGGGGGTAGGTGGTGGTCTGTTGTAACTTTGAACAGCTGTTAAGTGACTGGTAGTACTATTCTATGTTTTATGTAAGAATTGCTTTCTCTGCAATGCCAGAACTGCTCTCTGGAGAAAACTAGATTAACCAGATGCAAACCCTGGTTCACATGTCCAAGCAAACTCTCACACCATGGAACAACAATGTTAGGTTTGTTTGTTAGATATGTAATGTCTTGGTATCCCACCCTTCCTCCAGAAATTCAAGGCAATATGTATGTATATATCACACCACCATAACAAATTTATAAGGCTGGGCTGAGAGATTGACTGGGAGGAGAAACATTCAGCTTTCTGGTCTGTGGTTTCTGCCACCATACCATTAAGTATGACTTTGCTACAGGGGATCATATGTGCTCCATGGTCCATTGGTTGGTCTCTGCTCCAGAGCTGTGGAAGGTAAAAGAACTGGATTGACAGAGCAGCTAGAGCTCAGGTTCTGGTATAAAAGTGGTAAACTATTTCTCCACCTTCATTATGTTCTCTGATTAAGTGGCAGCCATTTTTGAAGTCTTTATTTTATTTTGGGGAAAGGACAGGCTATATAAACATCTGTTGGTCTGCCATGAAGAGTTGGTGGTGATTGCAGGATAAAAGTACATACATAGATACTTTAATATTGGATGCCACTAGGAAGGACCAGCTGAGGTGAGTAAGGACCAGCTTAGTCTATTGTACTTATTTGGGAAGAGTTTGGGTCTGTTGGTTCAGAGGATGTAGACAGAGTCCTTCATAACTGTCCTCTGTCTCTTGGGGGTTAGATTGTTGATCTTCCTAGTTAGGAAAGCCTCCAGTGACGTGATTGGACCCTGTGTCAGAGCAGTGGTGAATGCATTGTTGATATGGGGGTAGTGCATTCAGGTAGTAGCCAGGAGTAAAGAGTGACCATAATCTTAACTCACCTACCCCCACAACCCTGAGTGGTTATTGCTGTTGGTTATAGTTGAAGAGGCTCACAAGTCTCTGTAATACAGGCCTAAATCAATTTTTCAAGCTTGACAGATCTGAATTTTCCAGATCCAGGGAATATTAATTCTTCAATATCAGCTTTAAATCTGTCTCCTCCCTACATTTTTCATGTTCAGTTCTATCCTATCAGCAAATTAACAAATACTTCATCTCCACTAAAGCCATAGTCCAATCTGGCACATTTCTTTCATAAAATAGGCAATAATTGAAAAAGCCGCAGGCTAATCAAAACTTGCCAAATAAAATAAAAAGCATCTTCCATATTCCTCTTAACTTCTGAAAAAAGGCTGGCATTCAAGCAAGAATGAATAGAAGTGATTTTTGTCCACATGTTACATTGCAAATTGATTATGAAGAGGTAACATTTCCTAGAGCTGACCTTAAAATGGATTCTAATCGGGGTAAAGTGCTGCTGTTTCGGGCTGGTTCACCCGAACCGGTAGTAAAAAATGCTAGCAATTCAGGCGAACCAGTAGTTCCAACAATCAGCTGTGCCGTGTGATTTATATTTGTTAGAAATTGTGCAACATAGCTGATTGTTGCCCAGCTGATCGTTGGAACTTTCTTTTTACTTTTTAAAGCATTTTTTTTTTACTACTGGTTCATGTGAACTGGTAGTAAAAAAATGCTTTAAAAAAGTTTTGACAATTGTGCGGTGCAGCTGAATGTAGCACAGCAGATTGTAGGAACTTTTTAAAAACTTTTTTTAGCATTTTTTTTTTACTACCGGTTCAGGTGCACATGCACGAGCAATGATAACCAGTAGTAGACTTCAGAGCATTTCACTCCTGCTTCTGATGCGTTTGACTATATTTATCATGAACTTTCACCCATTTCATAGAATCATAGCATTGAAAAGCACCTTAGAGATCCATTGGTCTAAGTCCAGGTCAGTGTGGGATACACTACAGAATCCCTACAAATGATCATCCAGGTTCTATTTGAAGATTTCCAGTAAAGGAACTACTTCATGGGCCAACTTCTCATGTGTGTTCTCCAGTTATTAATCTCAGCTGCATAGAATCCCAGTAATTTAACATCAAGGCTGATTAGGAGTGGTGATATCTGTCCAGTTTAGATGTGAAAACAATCAACTGAAGCTACAAACATATTTCACAGGAAACCCAGAAGGTCATCTTTCCATTTAATAATCATATTTGGGGAGTTCTTTTCCCTTCTGCAGCAGCAGGAGAAAATACTTGCAGAGGGTGTGGGACATAAGACAAATGAAACCTGGCTCTACATGCTACAAGAAAGGGCTTGCTTGACACATAATCATCTCAAGCTCTTATTTATATTTATGAGCTTTCATAAGCACTTATTTGGAACATCCCCACTGTAAATCAGTTCATTAGAAGTTAGATTCCGTGGGTGGAGGCAATTTTTTTTCCATCACAAACTATCTAAAATTGTGTGCTTTATGGGTGCATTAGAAAGCTTTTTTTTTTGCCTATTCCTACTTGGAGGCACTGTTTTTGAAGTTGTGTTTGCTCAGCTCCTTATAAATAATGTCTACTCAGCCAGTTCTGACAGTGGTGTGTTAAATAACTACATTGGCTGTGATCCTCTTGCTCAGGCCTCTCAAAGTGGTGGCCCGCAGGGCTGATGCGTCACACAAAGCCACGCCCACTCCAGCCCCGCAAAGGCAAAAAAACATACATCACAATATTTCACGTGATGTGATCGATTTTGACACCAGTGCTATTGATGGTGACCCTACTTAGCAAGCAATAGTAAACAAAGACAGTAGACGCACTGAATGTTTTTTAATGTAACATTTTCATATTTTACCTCCTTCCCATTAAAAAGCCAGGGGATTTGCTCAAAAAATGAAGAATTTTCAGAACTGCTCTTCTGATGAAACTCATTTAACTCAGGTCAGGACCTTCTTAATATACATATCTGTAAATAGTGAGTGGCTGAAAACTAATACCAAAAGAAATATTTATTGCAGGAAACGTTCAAACGTGGTTTAGAAATTATCCAATGAAATCAATAGCAATGAGGAATCTTTTTAATATAGAACACTTGATTATTGTGGGGACAATAATTTACCTGAGCACTTGAAAAGAAACACCAGCTGTACTTTCTCCATATGTAGAAGTATGTAGTTGTATGTCATAAACATATGTATGCATACCCATTAGAATGTATAATGAAAACAAAACTTTTTGGCTTGCCCTTTGTTTCATCTGCATCAATAATGAATAAAAGGATGCTGCAATTAAATGAATAAAAGGATGCTGCAATTAATGTGAATGTGCCTATTAATATTCCAAAGTGAAATTGGTTGTAGCAGAGTAGATAGGTAGTAACACAGTTTTAGCTGAATTGACATAGAAAAAGTGAGTATAAAAACATTAATCACAGGTCCTGTCCCCAAATATGGAACCTAGAACATTATTCAAAAAATATGATATGGACTTCTTTTGGGAGGCAGTCTGATACATTTATAAAATGAATAATAATTCTAAGTTTCAAATACATTTATTTTAAACTGTTACTTTTATCGAAAATTATGAGAAATAAATGCACTTTCCCCCATTTTTGTATAAAGGCTTGTCATTTCTATATTATATTTATAAAATTGCCACGGGTGCTAATTTGGTACCAAATATAGCATTAAGATAGGGACGCGATGGCTCAGTGGCTAAGATACTGAGCTTGTCAATCATAAAAGTTGGCAGTTCGCTGGTTCAAATCCCTAGTGGCGAGAAACAAATCCCAAGTGTCGCATAATGGAGTGAGCTCCTGTTATTTGTCCCAGCTTCTGCCAACCTAGCAGTTCGAAAGCATGTAAAAATGCAAGTAGAAAAATAGGAACCACCTTTGGTAAAAGTAACACTGTTCTGTGCACCTTCAGTATTTAGTCATGCCGGCCACATGACCATAGAGACGTCTTTGGACAGTGCTGGCTCTTCAGCTTTGAAATGGAGATGAGCACCACCCCTAGAGTCGGGAATGACTAGTACATATGTGCGAGGGGAATCTTTA